ATTATATCCATCTGACATGAAGGTTGAGAAATAGTGAAGTGTGAACTCCTAACTCTAAAACTTAATTGAAAGAAACAAATTAAATTAAATTGACAGGAACCATCAGTACGTACTCCAACCTAACATTTGATTTCTATCTTTGAAGCTTAGGACAAATATAATATTAGCTACTTCTCATCTCTATCATCAACATATATAAATACAACTGCAGACTCGTAACCAAAATACAACTAACTGAAGAAACTTAATTGACTTCCTACAAAACGTACAGAAAATATATACAGACCTCCAAATACCAAAACAAATGTCTGATCTGTATCATATGCTTCACCAATCCCTTCCCTAAGACAGTAAGAACAACCAAACCTTATAACCTTATAATGATAATGCCATTGCAGGAGACTGTAATAATGCATGCAAACCTTATAAATAATGAACTAACTAAAGAAAGTTTCAGCATTAGAAAGCAACACAAAAAGAAATGGAATAGACAAATCCATCCATTAAAATATAAAAGAGACCTGCCCGATCGAGCCGGCAGGTTGCAGTAAGTTGCATATGATATCCTCAACAAGCTAGCTTGCTAAAACTGTTATAGGGACTCAAATCCAACACCCATTGTGGGAATGATCTTTACTTTTAAACACTGTGATATTATACAATTTTGTGTAATCTTAATTAATTAAATGGCCTTTAAAATAGGCACTGGCCCTGGGTGATCTATCCTTTCATTATCTTCTGGGGCTAGGATATCAGACCAAATATTGTAATCGTCAAAAATACCCTGAGGTGGAGTTTTTCTCAACAATTCATCCAATTCATCAAGTAATGGATCATTGCCCACAGCGATCACTCCTCCATATGCATCATCAACTCCACTGCCCATTGCGCTAGCGCTAACTCCTCCATATGCATCAACTCCATTTGAAACCTCTCCCGCCAAAGTTGAAGTTTCCAATGGCAAAGATACCATGACGTTATCATTTTCAGGCCAATTATAAATCTCCAACGGAGTATCATCTTCATTAAAATTCTGAGTAGACAATTCACGGCTTCTTGATGTGTTTCTAAGGACTCTTTTTATCCGGCACAATACGACATCCTTGGGGACAACGTTTTTATCTCGGAGATAATCATCGGACAGTGAATATTCCTTCATGAGCCAAACCTCCCCACGACGTTCATCGGCGCCGCCCTTGCTTTTTGATTTTTTGGCTTCGTACCGCAAGCTTTTCTTGAATCCCATAACTGTTTTCGTTTTCTTGCCGACTCTGATAGGTTGTCCTGCGTCCTGGCCCTTCCACGTCCCGCGGTCTCCGACGTTGCGCAAGAATCTTGAGCCACGTTCGCTTTTTCTCCTCAACTCGGTGAAGTAATAGCGGGTCATAAGGCCGCCGGAGCCGAAAATTTCAGACGGTTCTTTCGCTCCGTAAAGATCTTCCATTGAGAAGAAATCGGAGGTGTGCTTGAGAGGTTTTCCGAGGACGAAAGCCTCCAAATATTGCAGCAACTCCTTGTCAGTAGGCTTGAATATGAAACCATGGAGAGAACGAAGAGCCATGTACGTAAACTTTTATTCGTAAATATGGGACGAGTGAGATCAGACTTAGAGCGAGAGCGAGAGCGAGAGCGAGAGAGTGATAGATCAGGTATTTTGGTGTAAATGTGTAATAATGAGGTTTGGAACTATATAATAACAATATATATGGGTAGCGTTGAGCCAGGGTAGGGACGTACGGTGAAAATGTTTAATTAGGGATAAAAAAATATTTAGGCTCTGTTTGACAAAACTTATTTAGGGACTTATAACTTATTTTAAGCTACTAAGTATAAACTTTGTTTAGTAATGTTTCCAAAATAAGCTCATAACTTAAAATAAGAGCTTATTTTGAAACGCTACCTTAGGTAACATTTCAAAATAAGCTAAGAGCTTCTTAACTTTTTTTTTTTTCATTTTTATCCTTATTATTAAATAACATCATTTACCCTTCCAATTAAAAATCTTTTTACTTCTCATTTATTTGCATCCCTTTCCAATTAAAAATCCTTTACTTCTCATTTATCTGCAATTTTCAGGACAAATCCTTTATTATTATTATTATTATTATTATTATTAAACATCTTTAAAAAAATTTATCCGCACCTTTATTATTATTATTATTATTATTATTATTATTATTATTATTATTATAAGATTGATTATCTAATATATATGATGAATAGGATGAAGATGTTATGGGATGCTAAGTCGTGATTATACTAATAGTTTTATTTCAAAATGTTAAATTTTGTTGAAGACAAAATGTTAAATTTTAATATGTAAACAAACTACTTTAAATTTTTTGAAGATGTCCTTTTTAGTCTTTTTACATTTATCAGCTTATCAAAAAGCTAATTTTACCAAACACTTTCAACCATAACAGCTAATTTAACAGCTCTTAAGTTTTCAGCTCCTAGCTTATAGCTTTTCAGCTTTCAACTCCTAACTTATAGCTTTTCAGCTAGGTTTGCCAAACAGAGCCTTATTATAAAGATAAAAATAATAGACCCGACGACAATTATCAATTCTACTTAGAATTTCGCTTTAGTTCTTTCCAACTTTCACCTCTATGACTAGTTGAGCTGTTCATGCGGGCAAGAGAATTTCACTTTAGTGTGTCTTCAAGTCGGCAACCTATTAAACTTATTAATAACACATCTGACCTATTAATATTATCGTGTTAACGGTTTATAGGAACCCGTGTACACAAGCTCGTTTATAATCAACTAAGAACACATTGTTATTTAATATAAAATGAAAGTTCAAGTCTAAACAACCCTAAGACTTCGAAAGTTATGTTGTTATTTTTACTCTCTAAGAATATTTCTCAAGACCACTAAAAAGAATACATTAACAGGTTTAGTGGGTCTAAACGAGTTGCATGTCATATTGTGTCGACACGATTCGAAACATGTTAATAAAATGTGTCTATCATATTGTGTTCATGTCGTTATCGTGTCAACCCGTTAACGAACCTGTATACACAAATTGCTAGGTCTAGGAAATAGTTAGAATAAATTGCATATATATCTATTAATATGATGTTTTCTTTTTAATTTGATTAACTTTATGTATGTTTTAAATTAATTTGAATATGATGACAGACTACATTAACTAGAAAGTCATAGAAATAACTAGGGATATGCATAATTCAGTGAAAAATCGGTTAAGTGACCGAACCAACCAAATTTGATTAATCATATTTTAACTAAACATTTTGATTTAGTAAACAGTTAATTCGGTTCGAAAGTGTTAATTAACTAAAATAACTAATCGGCTAATCAAATTACGTGTATATATATATGTTTTTAAAAATTATCATTTATTTATTAATTTTTTTTTGAGGAATATCATTTATGTATTAATGTAATGACTATTTTGTGGTGTGAAATTATAAATTTACAAATTTTATTTGTAAATTTAATTTTTTAAATTAGACTAAAATATTTCAGTTAACCAACCGATTAACCGACAATTTTTATTCCATTAATTCGAAAGCAAAAAATTTCAATTTGATTAATAGTTAAAGCATTCGAAATTCGGTTTGGTTATTAACCAAATTAATCGAATCAACACCCTAATGATAATTTAACATGTGGGTTGCCAATGTAAAGCAAATGGATGTGAGCTTTGTCCGACGTTACTAATTCCACTTCTCTCTACCTCTCCAAATGCTTTATACAATAGTAGATTCTATTATTCTTTTTTCAAAAAGTTGAATCTCTAACCCAAAGGGTCTTCATCATATGCTTCATATCAACTAAAAATCTAAGTTAATAGTTGGATTGTACATTTATGTTTATATATATTATATGCTCAACAGCCCCAACCTTATAGAGCATGTGGGAGGAGGTAAACAGGGTCAAATGACTGTGCGCACAAAAAATTTACCCACTTTAAGTATAATCCTCACATTATCGTTGTTGAGATTCAAACCTTGATTTCTTCTTTCAAATACTGTCTACTAAACCGATAAATTAAGCCCTTACGGACTCATAGATTCTATTATTGAGTTTGATTGGTGGATGAGTGTATGGATATATACAATCTCAATTAATAATAATTTCAATTCTCTCTCCTTTCTCCGCTTCCACTTTCTCCTCTTCCACAAACTCGATCTCTACTTCTCTTTTACTTTCTTTCAAAATTTATTTTTAGATCCTGAAAAAGTTTAAGGAGATTGTTACAAACCTATTTGTTTATTAAGAGATAATGGCACTTCTACAGGACAATATACAGACTACAAACTACTAGACTACCAGTGGAAATATTCAAAATGATTAGAGATTGAAACAAAAATAAATAAATAAATTGAAGAAGCTTGGTAGTAAAAAATCATTTTTGCATTACAAATTCTTGAAGAGAAGTCAAAACAAATCTTTTGTTACAACACATTTTCTATTAATGTAACAGAGGAAGCATACCCTGCCATCTGAACAAGATGCCAGAAGTATAAAAAGTTATGTATCAGATTTGCTAGCACTTCCAAGTTTCAACACAAGTAAAATCACATAATACATAATAATACAGAAAGATTCTCAATGCTAATTTACAGTTTAGCACTTCATTTTCTTGCTTGCAACCTGTGATCGTGCTATGTTCTCCCGTAACGGGCAAGAAAACATAAAGAAAAATGAACAAAGAATAATATTTGGAAAAGGAAAAGAAGAAAACACTATGTTTGCTTGAGACTCAAAATTCCCTTAAAACCCTTTTTGGGATTGAATTTCTGCCTTCCATTATTCTAAATAATACACCCTTTTATAGGGTTGATTACAAATATTCTTAAACTAAGAATGATTAATTATTTGGCAGTTTCGAAATAATTAAACTACCTAAACTAACTCAAAGACCAAGAGTAAATAAGTTTTATAACTATATAGTAGTTTCTACATATCTAAACTATGTAATGCAATTGTAATAAAATAAGACTTCCTAAATAATCATAGTCACGCAAGTATCAGATCGATTGCTCTGTTACCTTCTGATCCACTGAAGATGAGGTCTGCAGTCGATCTTCACCGCATGATGTTCTTGGATGGTTTTCTGTTTTTAGCTGATCTGCCATCAGCTCAGACAGGTCATCTTTTTTGTAATTCATGAAAGCCCCTACCGGTCCCAGAAATCCTTCATGCAGCAAAAACATTGCTTTCATCTCTGATTTTGACCTGCAATCATTACAACCGGGTATGAATCATGACATTACGTTTTATGTTTTCTCCATTGACTGATCTCTTCTTAAGTCAACGGAACTTAAAAATGTAGCACCATCTCTCCTATCAGTATCACAGGTGCATCAATTTAGATATCGCATTCTTAGTGTTGGTTCAGAAGGAGAATAGTAAGACTAGGACCTAAGAGGAGCAGAAAAGGTACCAGAAATCAACTGCCACAGAAATTGTGTCCATTGTATAAGCATGGCCCCGGATGAAAAACCCTCCAAAAAATATTCTTTTCAGTCCATAGCGGAGCGCATTAAGGTATGCAATCTGAATACAAAAAAGTAAATGAAAGCAAAACATCTAAATTAAAAAATAAGTAAATAAATAAATAATAATGATGATGATAGCATCATCATCATCATCATCATAACAATAACAATAACAATAACCATAGAGGAAAAAAGAATGTGACAACATAAGAAAATATTATCTTAGATGAGAAAATGCACTATACCGGCAAAAAGTACAAAACTGTTAAACTGCACATATGCAATACTCTTGGAAAGGAAATGTAATAAACAGTGACCAATGTTAAAAAGGCACTGTTTCAGAGCAAAACTAGTACAAGCATACACACACATACATTGCATAATCATTTAATCATTTTAAAACAATCCTCTACATTCTGGAAAAAATAGTATTAATGCCTTTTTGTTACCCTCAGTCCCAATTTCTACCAATTATAAGTCAAACTTGCAACAAAGTATTTAAAGTAGAGTTCACCTCCAACAATTCCAAAACCCTTACTCGTAATTAGCCAGGAATCAAAATTATCACAAGATAGAATGTGATAAGGATAGATATTTTCATCCTATCAGTCTTAATTTCTTGCCTCTCCTTTGTTTATGAATTACTCCTAGAGATAGAGAGAGAGAGAGAGAGAGGCAAGGTGGAGGGGGGAGATTAAATAACATATACAATCAATATCTAAAGATTGGAGTAATGCATAGATGTAAAAATCTTTAGTGAAATGTACTTTGCTAGTAATATCTAAAAAGATCTACCAAAAGAACTATCTAAAACTGTCACTAAGAGAACTTGGTAAATTTTTACTCACCTGACCAATGTTATTTGAAATCATTCTCAGCAGAGAACGTGCAATATCTTCTGGTTTCCATTCTTCTAGCTCTTTATTTTCTGAGATTGCTTTGCCAAAGCTAGAAGCAATAGCTGTTGAGGCAAGGCCAATCTGTTATCATTAATCAATTTCAGAAAAAAAAACGGATCAGTAAGCTCTACATGGCCACAAATTGCAGTTTAAGTTAAGTTGTATATGGGCCAATTACAACAACAGAATCAACAGTTTAAAGTTAATAAAGTTCATTATGTTAGCAGCATAAATTTATATTTCATCTTCTTAATGCAAATGCAGATATATAGATCCATAGCTTTTGTATGTTAACCCATCAAAGAATTCCTTACCTGCCCAAGATTCCAGAAATGCTAATGCTACATGAACCTAAAGTTTTCACCAAAATATTTCACCATTAATAAAACTCTTTTTATTCATTGGTTACCATGAATTGGCTGACCCCCACATTAAAAAGGAATCTACTTATTAATCAAATATGAATCATATATTGCCACATCAAATGGTGAAAACTTTTGGTCCATGTAGCATTACCCTTCCAGAAAACTCAACACACATAATAGAAACATACTAGCACATTATATCAACCACCCTTTATTGGAAGACAGACATGAATCAACCAGCAACAACATTCCACCATGCACAACACCTTCTCCTTCAAGTAAGGTGTTTTAAAATATTAAATTTGTTCCATATCCAGCAAATGCATCCAGAGGAAATTTGTAAAACCTGAATACTACGGATGTTGGGCATAGAACATAGATGTTGAAATTGTTTAATACTTATGAACCCTTAATGTTTCATTAACTTAGAAAATGATGATGGAGTTTCTAACATGTGCAAATGTCTCAAGATAAATAAAACTATAAAAGAAGACATACCTTTGAATAGTCAGTTCCATAAATGTCTCCTACAAGCATATCTATAACTCTGTTGTTTCCTCGATGACTCAGTTCCAGCAACTCATCAAAACTGGTATATGAATGCATATTTATTATCTTGTTGTCAGAACTAACTCAGAATTTAGTAAAACATGATAAGAAGAAAAAAAAATCCAAACCTATTGCACTTGGTCAAAAGCTTTCCTAAGCCCCAAAAAGTGCCACCACCAATACTGGTTCCGCTTACTCGCTCAAACTTGTTTTCTCCATCCACCTACCATTGGCACCAAAATGAATGATGTGCTTAAATATATTATGATTACTAAAGCTTGTTGGTTTCACTCCTAGAATATATATGGTATGTCTTCAGAAAAATATAAATAATGTTATTTAATCATTTTGATATAGTATGCAGTCAAAGATTTCTCTGCAAGCCTTGTGGAATTAATGTTCTGCATTAGCTACTCTACTTCCTCCTTTCCCCTACATCCCTCAAAACTCCTCCATGCATGAGAGAATTTACCTTGATCATGCTAACTCCTGACCCAATATTGACAAGGAGGTAAGGGTAAAGATCATTTTGATCAATCTGCTGGTATTCCTTCTTCCCATCCATGTATGTAAAAGCTTCTTGGTGAACAGACTACTCACCAAAAAAAAGAGGAATAAAACTTCTTTTATCAATTAATCAATAGGAAAAGGGTATGAAAATCATAGAGGAAAAGCTCAATTTCAGAAATAACATTTGAAGCTATGGGATATGACCACTTTAAGGATAAAAAATCACTTCCCACTCAGATTTCAAATGATAAGGAAGCTCTAAACAAATAAGGCTTCTATATTTGAGTTCTAAAAGAAAAGAAACTATAATCATAATCCCAAAACACTGCATATGTCAGAGTCACATAGAGAAAGAAAAAATGACGAATTAAGTATTTTCAAAAATTAGTTTCATTTTAATGCACCAATGTTGAGCTCTCAAGTGCATGGATCAAAATTCAGAGCACTACTCTTAAATTTCAACAATAAAAAAATAATATATAATTAGAACCTCAGTCACATGATAAATAATTACTCTTAACAGGGTAGCAATGATTGTGGAGTGGGGAAACCTGAATGAATTTACATGCAGAACACACAGATAAACAGAAAAAAAAAAAAAAAAAAACCAAAACAAAAACTAGAAAACAAAAGAATAAAATATGATACTGCACAGAGGAATCCATGAGAACCACCAAAGGCAGGATACTAACCAGATACATCCTACTATTAAAAGCCTACCTCAAGCAGAAAATTTGCTCCAGCAACAAGACAATCCATTTCATCCACTTTGTCTAGAGTAATTCCTAGCTTTTCTTTGAACAGATCAGCAAATTTGAATGCACCTCCACCTGTTGCCTTTGAATGGATAACAACATATTAATAGGTTATTCTACTTTTCAGCAAGTTTGATGGTCAATCAGTAAATTAATCACCTAATGTGTCAACAATTATACTCTCTGAATCTCAAGCCACAAACAAATTAAATGATATTCTGCCAGTGCCAGTTTCAGTGACACAGTTTGATTGGGATGTCATTCAAGAAAAAAGTATGATTGACCACAAAGTATACTGTGCAGCAAGTTGCACCAGCTCTACCACTCTACAAGCATAAACCACATAAAGTAACCATCTGTGTGACATTTTGACTTTGTTGTTCGTAGAAAGGGCAATAATAATGTTATCACAATTGATGATTAACTAGCTACAAGGAATATATATCAAGAGTAGTATTAAAAGTTTGGACTTTTAATTTAATCTTACCAATTGAAAGTTGTGAATGGTGGTGTATTAAGGTTAACAACACAGACGGGGAATTAATTGAAATCAAAAAGGGAAAAGTAATTTTATCCATTATATTTTCCCAATCCCAAAAGATAGGAAATCATCATCTGCACAAGCACTTATGAAATCAAAAAGGGAAAAGTAATTTTATCCATTATACCCCTACCCTTTAAACTGTTATGTAGGTGCAAAACTGTTGTTTATAATGAAAACTTTCAACAATTCTTTCATATTCTGGTAATTAGATATTTGACAATTTACTAGCCAGAGGAATTCTCCATTTTTCTAAAGAAATGGAAATTTGGCAAAACTAAAAACAGAGAATTTATCTTCTACATTTGGAAAACAAAAAAGAATGGAGAATGGAGAACTGGAGATAGGAAAACAGAGAATTGAAGTAAATGTAGCCTAAATATCCTCATGACTAACTATGGAACACAATGCTTGAGAATCCTTGGCAACCTAAGTGATTGTACATTTGATCAGTCAGCCAATGAGTCACATACTATGACCAAAGCAACAGCAGGAAGCCATGAGGACATTGCAATGGGGAGGGGAAAAGCAGATAATGCCAGGCATTTCACAAGTACAGAGTTAATCTATAAAAAGCAAGCAACCATTCTATATCAGGTGGAGATATGCTTAGAACCAAAGATTTGACGGTGCGAAATATTTATACCTTAATGATAATCTTCTCATTGGTGTGAAGTTCATGACATCGACCACCTGTAACCATTCTATATCTGTAAGTGTAACAAGAAGATCAAATGGCATAAACAAAATAGCATACGTAACAACCACTTATCAGATTCTCCAAATTATCAAAAGATGAGATCAGTGAATTCACTGCAGTGACAACTTTTCCTTTATTATGCTGTTAAGACAACATGTACAGGTCACCTGAGTCCTGACACACACAAGGTTTACTGAGGTACTAGGATTTTGTGAAATAAAGATGTATATGAATGTCAAAATAAATCATTCCTCAAAGTCTATTGTGGGGGAGATTTAACATCATAAAACAACAGTTATCTTTTTGCCAAATTTGAATACCAAAAATGAGGTAGGACAGTTTTCATTTCACAACACATGATGATAAGCCCAAAATAACCTATAAAAGAGCAGAAAGTCTTAAAATGTCTAATGGAGCTATAAGGTGGCTGAAGTCTAGAGACTAATTCATGAATTCCATTCAGAAATGCATTAATCATCATATGAACACACATACCAGGGTATTGAAGCTTCTTAGAAGACAAAAATTTGATGCATTTGCTGATCATTCTTGTTTCAAACTTGACAAAGTGAAGACTGCCACACAAAGCAGAATGGTTCCAGTTGCCGTTCAGTATAGACACTGTTTCATTTGACAATTGCCCTTGCTGATCATTAGTTGAGCAATGATTGTTGCTTGAAACATAGACCATCTTGATGAGTGAACCTGCAGAAAGATAAGTAGGCATTCAGGTAATGGTGGTGCATTTGCTTTGCAGCCAATGCAACTTATAACAAGTAGTACAAAACTTTGTTCTTATAAAGGAATCAATCTAAATAAAAATCATTCATAAACACGCAGGACCTGGTGCAATAAAATGCTAATTTTACAGTACCCTATTTCTGCACTAAAGATTTCTCTATCGACTTTCGAGTTTTCAGGACAATTATAAACAAAGCTGGCTTTCTTTTTCCCTGAAACAACACCATTACTCCCCTCATAAGAATAACAAACCTCACGCATCGCAATTAAAGCCGGTAGTCGCAGAAAACCTCAAAAATAAAGCGAATATTTTCGAGATTCAGCTTGGAAAGATAATAGCACAAAGAAAACTGAGAAATAAAATACTTTTGTTTTCAAATTAACTTAGGGTGATTAAAAAAACCGATGAAAGTTAGAAAATCGAGAATTACCTCCAATATCGATAGCCAAATGTGAAATTTCACCATCATCGGATCCTTGAAGCCGCTCGGCGTTGGAATCTATTTCCTCGATGATCCGGTCGAATCGAACAGTATCCATTTGCATTTTTACTTCAGTTGATTGGCTATGCTATATCTGTATGATCGTATGCAAGAATGCTGCTTCAATTGCTTTATTACTCGCGCCAATCAGACCCAACATTCGCCGGAATATTCCTTTTCAGGCAGAAAATGACAAAATTTGACTCCCGTCAACGGTTTCGTATCGAATTTGACTCGTAATTTATTTATTCATTCTTTCCATATTAGGCCGTTATCCAATCTCTATCTTTCATTTTTTTTTTTCAAAGCCATTTTTATATTGAAAAGTACTATTTGCATTCTCAAATTTTATTTCTTACTTTTATTTCCTCACTTAAAATTTTGATCTAGACATTTTCTTTGGATCCACGAGCAAAAATAATTTATTATCATTTGTCACATTAGAAAATAAAAATGAGTAGAGATTGAGAGCTAAAGTAGTAGAACTCTTTTATATTTCTTTCACCAGGATTCAACATTTCAACTTTACCTTAGTTTTCAACTTCACGGAGATTGAGGTCCCCATTAACGTACCAAACTCCATTAATAATCTCTTATATGTTTAACTTGGCAATTTGAAGCGGTGGTAAGCAAGACAATTAATACAATTACAAATTAACTGATCCAACTTAGATTATCTCATCTACCAGCATGAGAAAAGAGGGGGAAATCCGCATCCAAATAGTCTCCTTCGCGGTTTTGGGGATACTATTGAGGAATGTGGTTTGTCCCAAATGCATATGGATGGATACCGGTTTACATGGGAAAAAAGCCAGGGTACGACAGCCTGGATTGAGAAAAGATTGGACAAGGTTTTAGCAACGGAAAGTTGGCACAGTATTGTTCCAGAAGCACGGGTCTCCAACCTTTTGACCCGTAATTCTGACCATTCGGCACTGTTCTTGGGTATTCGTGGTCTTGGCCAAGGCAGGAATGGGAGAAGGGACTTTCGTTTTGAGATGGCCTGGCTGCATGATGAGGGCTGTAGGGGAGTGGTAGAGAAGTCTTGGGATGAAGGAAAGTGTATGGGGCAACAAGATTGTATTGGCTACTGTGGTGGCCGCCTAGCCCAGTGGGGAGGTGATCATTTTCATAAGTTTGGGGAGCAAATTATGAGTTTAAGAAAGGAGCAGTTGCGTTTGAGAGGGTGTTCTGATCCGTCTTCTCTGGCCGAATTCCAACGTCTGGAAGAACGCCTGAGCCGCCTTGAAACCCAGGAGGATGCATACTGGAAACAGAGAGCCAAGCAACACTGGCTCAAGGACGCTGACACCAACACGAGATTTTTTCACAGGTATGCTTCTCATCGCAAGAAAAAGAACTCTCTATCTAGATTAATGAATGATGCTGGAGATTGGGTGGAGGGAAATGTCATGACAAATGTTATCCTGGATTACTTTAATATGATATTCCACTCTAGCATACCGGAGGGTGGGGAAGACTTTTTTGAAACCATTATTCCACGGATTACACAAGCCCATAATGAGTCTCTGCTTCGCCCTTTTGTATTGGAGGAGGTCAAGGATGCTCTTTTTTCAATGTTTCCCGATAAGGCTCCAGGCCCGGATGGAATGAATCCGGGTATTTATCAGCATTTTTGGGATGTGGTAGGGGGATGTTTCGAATTTTGTAATAGGATGCTTGGAATCTCGTACTTTGCCTCATAATTTGAACGATACTGATATCGTTCTCATTCCCAAAAAGAATACTCCTGAGCTAGTATCCGATCTAAGACCTATAGCCCTAAGTAATGTGGTGTATAAGGTTATGGCCAAGATGATAACAAATAGAATGAAGCCGATGATGGATGATATTATTTCTGACTCACAGAGCGCCTTTATACCTGATAGATTGAAAACAGACAATATCCTAATAGCTGCTGATGCGGGACATTTTTTGAACAAAAAATCGTGTGGTGTTATGGGATGGGGAACCATCAAGCTAGATATGGCTAAAGCCTATGACCGCATGGATGGTCTTTTCTGCGTGGCATGTTACTGGCTTTGGGATTTGATAATAGATGGGTCGAATTAATTATGGTATGTGTCACTACTGTGTCCTATAGGATCTTGATAAATGGCAATCGCAGTGAACAGGTCGTGCCCACGCGAGGTTTGAGGCAAGGGGACCCTTTATCCCGTTATCTCTTTATTATTTGTGCAAAAGGTCTCTCGTTATTGTTACAACATGCACAAAGCAGGGGTTCTATTCATGGTTGTAGAGTGGCAAGGGGAGCCCCCCTATTACTCATTTGTTTTTTTGCTGATGACATTCTCTTATTTTTCAAAGCTAATATACAGGAAGCTGGTGAAATAAAGAATTGTTTATCAAGGTACGAGAGTTTATCTGGGCAGAATCGGCAGATGGTGAATTATCATAAGTTTCCAGTATATGCTATAGCAAAAATACATGTGAGGCTCATAGAGAGGAAGTGGCGCAAGTCTTGGGGGTGGTTCAGGCACCGAATTTTGGTAAATATCTGGGAATCCCCCCTTTTATTGGAAGAAATAAAAAGGCAGTCTTTTCATATATTGAGGATAAGATCAGGCGGAGGATTGGGTCTTGGAATAAAAAATTGCTTTCACAGGCTGGTAAGGAGGTTTTATTGAAAAGTGTGGCTCAATCTATGCCTACATTTTCAATGAGTGTATTTTTATTGCCTATTTCTGTCTGCACAGCTATTGAACGAACCATGAATAGATATTGGTGGGGTAGTGGAACTGATCAGGTATACACGGAAAAGCATGGGATAAATTATGTATTCCAAAGAAGCATGGTGGCTTGGGTTTCAAAGATTTGAAAGCTTTTAATTTAGCCATGTTGGGTAAACAGGCATAACGTTTTCTCACTAAACCAGATTCATTGGTAGCTCGGGTATACAAGGCTAGATATTATCCTAGAGATTCTTTTTCTGAAGCATGCTTGGGGAATAATCATAGCTTTTGCTGGAGGAGTATTATGCAACTAAGGATTTAATTTGTAGTGGTGTCAGACGCCGAATTGGGAATGGGAAAACAACATTAATATGGAACCACCCATGGCTCTAGGATGGTCAAGACCCAATGATACATACTGAAATGCCCCCTCAGCTTGCTGCAGCAAAAGTAGTAGGGTTAATTGATCAGGATACTGGTAAATGGGATCACTCGATCCTAACAGACATTTTTCAACCTACTGATGTAGATCGCATTTTAAAGATACCTGTCTCACCAGACTATAAGGACGCTTGGTATTGGCATGGGGATACAAAAGGTTGTTACTCTGTTAAGGATGGATACAGACTAATCGTTGGAAATTATGTGGCAACGCAAGGCTCTTTTAATAAATGGATAACATTATGGAATCTAAAAATTCCCCCAAAATGGAAGACATTTTTATGGAGAGCTTTAAGTAATATCCTACCTACCACTACCAATTTGAATATAAAGAGAGTGGGAATTGATCCGACATGTGCTATGTGTGGTGTTACTCATGAGGGTACTATACATGCATTGGTTTCATGTGTTTTTGCAAGCTCTATATGGCATGAATCCCACCTTCCAATCCCCAATATTGTGACCAACAATTTTCATTCTTGGTTTGATGAAGTGATGAATATTCTAGATACTAATGGAATTATGTTCACAGCAGCAATTCTATATTATATCTCGAAGGTCAGGAATAGTGCAGTTTGGGATGCCTACCTACCCACCCTGAGGAAGCTCATAGCGGCGGCCACAAATGCTCTCCATGCATGGCGACTCATTCACTACGCCGGCAATCATGATCTAGCATCGTATAATGAAGTAGCAGTATTTTTGCGAATCTCCATCTCAATAGAGGTCTCACATAAATTTTCGTTGGAGTTGAAACTTTAAAGAGTTGCTGAGCGGTGAAGAGTTGCCGAAGAGAATGAATAAAAATATAATAGAATAGAAATAAATAAATAAAAAAACCAAAAACAATTTTAATTGATAAGGTAAAAGATGTTATTTATTTAAATTTATTTAAAATAATAAAGATAAAAACGAAAAAAAAAAAAAGTTAAGAAACTATTATCTTATTTTTGAAACAGTAGGTAGCGTTTCAAAATAAGTTCTTATATTAAACTACTAAATTATTTTGAAAAGATTACCAATAGCTTATAACGTATTAATAGCTTAAAATAAACAATAAACTGCAAAATAAGCTAAGCTAAACAGAACCATAATATAATGTGTCATAATATTCAAATTAATTTAAAAATAAATAAAATTAATAAGTTAAAATAAAATATTATATTAATAATGATATATATGTAATTTTTTCTAACTATTTCTCATCTTATCATTAATATTTTTATTCCTAATTAAAAATTTTAAACTTTTTTGGCCCCGACTCAACCCTACCCGCCACCCAGCTACCCTATATATATTGTTAATATATAATCCAACGTTCATTATTACACCTATTTCGATATCACTCTCTCGGTAACTTGCTCTCATTCTCAGTCCCATATTTACGAATAAAAATTTACGATCATGGCTCTTCGTTCTCTCCATGGTTTCATATTCAAGCCAACTGACAAGGAGTTGTTGCAATATTTGGAGGCTTTCGTCCTCGGAAAACCTCTCAAGCACACCTCCGATTTCTTCTCAATGGAACATCTTTACGGAGGGAAAGAGCCGTCTGAGATTTTCGGCTCCGACGGCCCTATGACTCGCTATTACTTCACTGAGCTGAAGAGAAAATGCGAACATGGCTCAAGATTCTTGCGCACCGTCGGAGACCGCGGGACGTGGAAGGGCCAGGACGCAGGAACGCCTATCAGAGTCGGCAAGGAAACCAAAACAGTTATGGGATTCAAGAAAAGCTTGCGGTACGAATCCAAAAAATCAAAAAGCAAGGGCGGCGCCGATGAACGTCGTGGGGAGGTTTGGCTCATGAAGGAGTATTCGCTGTCCGATGATTATCTCCGAGAAAAAAACGTTGTCCCCAAGGATGTCGTACTCTGCCGGATAAAGAGAGTCCTTAGAAACACATCAAGAAGTCGTGAATTGTCTACTCAGAATTTTAATGAAAATGATACTCCGTTGGAGATTTACAATTGGCCGGAAAATGATAACGTCATGGTATCTCTGCCACCTTCGGAAACTTCAAATTTGGCCAGAGAGGTTTCCAGTGGAGTTGATGCATATAGAGAAGTGAGCGCAATGGGTAGTGGAGTTGATGATCCATTACTTGATGAATTGGATGAATTGTTGAGAAAAACACCACCCCATGGTATTTTTGACGATTACAATGTTTGGTCTGATATCCTGGCCCCAAAAGATAATGAAAGGATAGATCACCCAGGGCCCGTGCCTATTTTAAGGCCATATAATTAATTAAGATTACACAAAATCGTATAGTAGCATAGTGTGTAAATGTAAGGATCGATCATTCCACAAAGGGTGTTGTATTTGAGTCCCTATAACAGCTTTAGCAAATTTGTTGAGGATTTCATATGCAACTTACTGCAACCTGCGGGCTCGATGATTGGTTTATATTTTAATGGATGGATTTGTCTTTTCCATTTCTTTTGTGTTGCTTTCTAATGCTGAATCTTTCTTTAGTTCATTCTTTATAAGGTTTGCATGCATTATTACAGTCTCCTGCAATGGCATTATCGTTATAAGGTTTGGTTGTTCTTACTGTCATAGGGAAGGGATTGGTGAAGCATATGACACAGACATTTGTTTTGCTAGCTAGTGCCCTTCAAATCTATGGAGGATAATGATGATCCAACTTCTGAAGCATTTGGAGGTCTATATTTTGGTTATGAGTCTGCAGTTGTATTTATATATGTTGATGATATAATGCATATATAGGGAGAGAGAATTGAAGTAGCTAATATTTGTCCTGCAAATTAAAGATAGAAATCAAATGTTAATTAGATTGTAGGAGTTCACATACACTTGACTATTTCTCAAACTTCATGTCAGATATATAGATAATATATATAGCACTTGAATTGCTCTATTTTTCTTGGACAAACAATACAAGCTGCTTTTGAATCCTTCTTCATATTATTAATATACCTCTATAGTTTTATCTCTTCTAAAAGTCTTGCATGCATATAAAAGTATCATTTCCTTTAAAAAATATATATATAAAAAAAAATAAATCTGCAACTTTGGAAGACAAGGAATTGAAGCATATACTTAACAGAGTTTATACATTGTTAGTAGCTTAAAATAAGCGAATTGCTTCTAAATAAGCACTGCCAAATAGAGCATGCATATGCATAAAGCCATAAAGGAGTGTTTAAAAATAAGCTATTATTTTAAACTTCTAAGTTTTACCAAACAGAGCTATAAATTATTTATTTGTAGTTAAAATAAACTATATAAGCACAAAAAAAAAAAAAAAAAAAAGAAGCTCTACCAAACAGAGATGATAATTATTTATTTTTTTTTTTTTAAAAAACATAAAAACTAATCTAATAGTACTCCATATTATTTATGAATTATAAAAAAAATAAAACTAAAACATATATATACACATGTAATTTGGTTAATCGATACTTTCAAACCGAATTAACCATTAACCGAAATTCTTAAAAATCTTTTAACTATTAATCGAAGAAATATTTCGGTTTAAAAAAAGGAAATTTAATTTTATCGGTTCGATCAGTTAATCGTATTTTTACCGAATTATGCACACTCCTATTTGTTTTTATGAACTGTGTGGTATATGGCTATGATTGGCAAGCCTAGCTGAAAGCTGAAAAGTAGTTGAAGGCTAAAAAGTTATAAACAAGTTGAAAACTGAAGAGCGGTTAAACTAATTGATCATTATGCTTAAAAGTGTTTGGTAAAATTAACTTTTTGATAAACTGATAAATGTACAAATACTAAAAATGACATCTTCATAAAATTTAAATAGTTTTAAATTTAAATAGGTTTGATTACATATTAAAATTTATCATTTTGAAATAAAACTATTAGCATAATCATGATCTAGCATCCTATAATGAAGTAGCAATATTTTTGCGAATCTCCTTCATCTCAATAGAGGTCTCACATAAATTTTCCTTGGAGTTGGAACTCTAAAGAGTTGCTGGGCGGTGAAGAGTTGCCGAAGAGAATGAATAAAAATATAAAAGAAGAGAAAAAAAAAAACAAAAACAATTTTAATTGAGAGGGTAAAGGATGTTATTTATTTAAAATAATAAAGATAAAAACGAAAAGAAAAAAGTTAGGAAGCTATTATCTTATTTTTAAACGGTAGGTAGCATTTCAAAATAAATTCTTATTTTAAGCTACTAGCTTATTTTGAAAACAGTTAATTACCAAAATGATTATTGATTATAGAGAAATTATCAATTTGATCCTTGACTATTTTTTTTTGACCAATTAAGTCTCTCAACTTTAAATTTTTAACCAATTTGATCATCCGTCTGTTTTGCCGTTAGGGATCCGTTAACTTGGGACCAAATTGGTAAATTCGCTATAGTCAAAGGACCATCTCAATAATTAACTTAAGGGGTGGACAATTCAATTCAGTTTTCCCGAACTGAACTGTACCAAACCGAACCGAATAACCGAACGATAATGGATTCTTGTATACCGAACGTTTCGGTAAAAAAACCGAACCAAACCAAATTATTCGATAAAAAATCAAACCAAAACGAATACCGTTTGATTTTTAATAATAATGATAATAATATTCAATATATTCGATATATTAAACAAATCAAACAATATTCGATTATTCGATATATTATTGAACTAGTTCGATACGGATCAGTTCGGAAAAATCGAATCGAATTGCTCACTCCTAAAGTAAATTACTGAAATGGTCCTTTGACTAAGTGAAATTATCAATTTGGTCCCAAGTTAACGAATCCTAACGGCAAAACAAACGGAGGACCAAATTGATTAAAAATTTTAAAGTTGAGTGACTTAATTGGTCAAAAAAATAGTCAATAACCAAATTGATAATTTCGCTATAGTCAATGGACCATTTCAGTAATTAACTCTTTTGAAAAGATTACCGATAGCTTATAACGTATTAGTAGCTTAAAATAAACAATAAATTCCAAAATAAGTTCTGCTAAAAGAACCATGATATAATGTGTCATCATATTCAAATAAATTTAAAAATAAATAAAATTAATAAGTTAAAATAAAATATCATATTAAAATGATATATATGTAATTTTTTCTAACTATTTCTCATCTTATCATTAATATTTTTATTCATAATTAAAAATTTTAAACTTTTTTAGCCCGACTCAACCCTACCCGCCACCCAGCTACCCTATATATATATTGTTAATATATAATCAAACGTTCATTATTACACCTATATCGATATCACTCTCGATCTCGGTCACTTGCTCTCATTCTCTGTCCCATATTTACGAATAAAAATTTACGATCATGGCTCTTCGTTCTCTCCATGGTTTCATATTCAAGCCAACTGACAAGGAGTTGTTGCAATATTTGGAGGCTTTCGTCCTCGGAAAACCTCTGAAGCACACCTTCGATTTCTTCGCACAGGAAGATCTTTACGGAGGGAAAGAGCCGTCTGAAATTTTCGGCTCCGGCGGCCTTATGACCCGCTATTACTTCACTGAGCTGAAGAGAAAAAGCGAACGTGGCTCAAGATTTTTGCGCGGCGTCGGAGATCGCGGGACGTGGAAGGGCCAGGACGCAGGACAGCCTATCAGAGTCGGCAAGGAAACCAAAACAGTTATGGGATTCAAGAAAAGCTTGCGGTACGAAGCCAAAAAATCAAAAAGCAAGGGCGGCGCCGATGAACGTCGTGGGGAGGTTTGGCTCATGAAGGAATATTCGCTGTCGGATGATTATCTCCGGGATAAAAACGTTGTCCTCAAGGATGTCGTACTGTGCCGGATAAAGAGAGTCTTTAGAAACACATCAAGAAGCCGTGAATCATCTACTCAGAATTTTAATGAAAATGATACTCCTTTGGAGATTTACAATTGGCCGGAAAATGATAACGTCATGGTATCTCTGCCACCTTCGGAAACTTCAACTTTGCCCGGAGAGGTTTCCAGTGGAGTTGATGATGTATATGGCGGAATGAGCGCAATGGGCAGTGGAGTTAATGATGCATATGGAGGAATGAACGCAATGGGCAATGATCCATTACTAGATGATGAATTAGATGAATTGTTGAGGAAAACACCACCACATGATATTTTTGGAGATTACAATTTTTTGTCTAATATCCCGGCCCCAAAAGATAATGAAAGGATAGATCACCCAGGGCCAGTGCCTATTTTAAGACCATTTAATTAATTAAGATTACACAAGATCATATTGTAGGCTTGTAGCATAGTGTGTAATGTAAGGATCGATCATTCCACAAAGGATGTTGTATTTGAGTCCCTATAACAGCTTTAGCAAATTTGTTGAGGATTTCATATGCAACTTACTGCAACCTGCCGGCTCTATGATTGGTTTATATTTTAATGGATGGATTTGTCTATTCCATTTCTTTTGTGTTGCTTTCTAATGCTGAAACCTTCTTTAGTTCATTCTTTATAAGGTTTGCATGCATTATTACAGTCCCTGCAATGACATTATCGTTAGGTTTGGTTGTTCTTACTGTCGTAGGGAAGGGATTGGTGAAGCAAATGATACAGATCAGACATTTGTTTTGGTATTTGGAGGTCTATATATATTTTGTGTACGTTTTGTAGGTAGTCAATTAAGTTTCTTCAGTTAGCTATATTTTGGTTATGAGTCTGCAGTTGTATTTATGCTGATGATATAATGCATAGAGATGAGAAGTAGCTAATATTATATTTGTCCTAAGCTTCAAAGATAGAAATCAAATGTTAAGTTGTAGTACGGTTCCTGTCAATTTAATTTAATTTGTTTCTTTCAATTAAGTTTTAGAGTTAGGAGTTCACACTTCACTATTTCTTAATCTTCATGTCAGATAGATAATATATATATAGCACTTGCTCTATTTCTCAACCTAAAATTAATGATTTGATGAACCAAGAGTAATAAATTGATGAATTTGCAGTAGAAACTTTTTATTTAATAATTGACTACAGTTTATAATAGCAGAGTTTTTTTTTTTTTTTTTTTAAGATAGTTTTTCAAAATACCAAGTCAAAATGTTGCTTTAAGTAGCCAGCATCTTGGATAGAAAGTTTTATTGGAAATGGGCATTCACCATATATTTTTTAGTGACTTGATTTGGTAAAATGGCTAAAATGATCATATTTGCTAACTTTTTATTAGAACACTTTTACCAAAATATTTAAATAATTTTCTTTCTAATATTTTTGAACCTAGCATCATTAGTATTTATATAACATACTAGTTTTTTCACGCGCATTGCGCGAATGACATAATTCATACTCAATGATTATTTTTAAATAAGTACTTAATTATTTCTTAATTTATTATTATTCTAAAAAATGTAATTATAATTATTACATAATTATATTTAAAATAAGCATGTCAAAATTTCATTTAATTGATAATTATAAAATTTAAATTCAAATAATATGTTAGTAAAATTATATATTAAATTTTAAAAATTACATTGCATAAATTAAAAAATTTAAAAAAAATTAAAAAACAAAAAATATCAATAAAAAAAATAGTTGATTGTTGCATTTGCAACCAACATTAAAAAGACATACACATGCATAAACATTCAGAGTGATCGCAAGCTGACAATCACTCTGAAGCGCCCAACGTGCACATTATCGAAACAGACCCGTTGGACGCATTATTTCTCCCTCCTTCTCCCCTCCCCCGCCCCCCACCAAAAAAAAAAAAAAAAAAAAAAGCCTTCATTTGTAAGAGAAAAAACCCTCAGCTCCAACGAAAAAAAAAAAAAAAAACTCATTCCTAATTTTTGTTGTCAGCAAACCCCTCCCTCAGATCACTTATATTGTTTTGACTTTTCTTCAAAATTAATTTGTAATGCAAAATTGATTTTTTTTTACTACCAATCTTCTTCAATTTATTTATATATTTTTGTTTCAATCTCTAATCATTTTGAATATATCCACGGGTACTCTGTATATAGTTTTGTATGGTAGAAGTGCAATTATCTCTTAATAAAAAATTAGGTTTGTGGAAGAAGTGCCATTATCTCTTTATAAACAAATATTTTTCAAGATCTAAGAAGTAAATTTTGAAAAAAAAAAAAAAAGTAAAAGAGGAGTAGAGATTGAGTCTGTAGAAAATGGGAGAGGAGAGAGGAGAGAAAATTGAAATATTATTAATTAATTGAGATTGTGGTTTGGAGAAGTAGAGATAAGAGAAGTGGAATTAGTAAGGTCAAGTGACTCGAACAAAGCTCACGTATAGTTGTATACAGTGGATCATTGTCCACACAACGCAACATTGTGTGATCTCGATCATCAAATGAAATTATAGTACAATTAAAATGATGCTTTAGTGTTGTTATAACGAAATTAGTGTGTATGAAAAATGAAATTAAAAAACAAAGCTCATTCAATAATGTATATTGTCAACTGAAACTGTAGTATAATTAAAACGTAACGGCACTTTAGTGTAATAGAGTCAGTAGTATTCAAAAAAAAAAAAAAAGATACTTTAGTATTGCTATAATGAAACTAGTATGTGTAGAAAATGAAATTAAAACTCATTGTAATACACTAACATATATGATCAAAGAAACTTGTAATGTAATTAAAACAATGCTTCAACATTAGTATAATTAAAGAAGGGTAAATGGTGTCATTTTTGTAAATTAATAAGGATAAAAAAGAAGAAAATGTTAAAAGCCTATAAGCTATCCTAGAAGCTAAAAACGGTAGAACTGTTAAGCTAAGCTAGCTTATTATGCTTAAAAGTGTTTGGTAAAATTAGATTTTTGATAAGATTCTAAATGTAAAAAAAAAGACAAAAAATGACATCTTCATAAAATTTAAATAGTTTTAAATTGAAGCAAAGCCTAAGCTGGTAGTTGGATTGCACGTTAATGGCTATATGCTCACACGCCCCCTCACGTGTACGGTGGGTTCCAAGTAACGGTCTGGCTCTGATACCAAATTGAAGCATGTGCTCCATCTCAACTAAAAGCCTAAGCTGGTAGTTGGATTGCACGTTAATGGCTATATGCTCACAGTTTGTTTACCTATTAAAATTTAAAATTTTAAAATGAAACTATTAATTTATTTTTGAAACATTACCAAACAGAGCTTATAGCTTGTTAGTAGCTTAAAATAAACTAATTACTTCTAAATAATCACTGCCAAACAGAGCATGCATATGCATGAAGGAGTGTTTAAAAATAAGTTATTATTTTAAACTTTCAAGTTTTACCAAACAGAGCTATAGCCGCTTATTTAATTTGTAGTTAAAATAAACTATATAAGCACTAAAAAAAAAAAAAAAAAAACTCTACCAAACAGAGATGATAATTTAAAAAAAAAAAAACATAAAAACTAATCTAAATAGTACTCCATATTATTTATGAATTTTATAAAAAAAAAATAAAACATATATATACACATGTAATTTGGTTAATCGATACTTTCAAACCGAATTAACCATTAACCGAAATTCTTAAAAATCTTTAACCATTAATCGAAGAAATATTTCGGTTGAAAAAGGTAATTGAATTTTGTCGGTTCGATCGGTTAATCGAATTTTCATCGAATTATGCACACTCCTATTTGTTTTTATGAACTGTCTGGTATATGGCTATGTTTGGCAAGCCTAGCTGAAAGTTGAAAAGTAGTTGAAGGCTAAAAAGTTATAAGCAATTTTTATACTGAAGAGCTGTTAAACTAATTGATCATTATGCTTAAAAGTGTTTGGTAAAATTAGCTTTTTGATAAGTTGATAAATGTTAAAATACTAAAAATGACATCTTCATAAAATTTAAATAGTTTTAAATTTAAATAGGTTTGATTACATATTAAAATTTATCATTTCGAAATAAAACTATTAGCATAATCATGATCTAGCATCCTATAATATTGAAGTAGCAATATTTTTGCGAATCTTCTTCATCTCAATAGAGGTCTCACATAAATTTTCCTTGGAATTGAAACTTTAAAGAGTTGTTGGGCGGTGAAGAGTTGCCGAAGAGAATGAATAAAAATATAAGAGAAGAGAAAAAAAAAACCAAAAACAATTTTAATTGAGAGGGTAAATGACGTTATTTATTTAAAATAATAAACATAAAAACTTAAAAAAAAAAAAAGTTAGGAAGCTATTATCTTATTTTTAAACGGTATGTAGCATTTCAAAATAAATTTTTATTTTAAGCTACTAGCTTATTTTAAAAACAGCTAATTACCGAAATGATCCACTGATTATAGCGAAATTATCAATTTGGTCCTTGACTATTTTTTTTTACGAATTAAGTCCCTCAACTTTAAATTTTAAACCAATTTGGTCATCCGTTTGTTTTGCCGTTAAGGATCCGTTATCTTGAGACCAAATTGGTAATTTCGCTATAGTCAAGGGACCATTTCAATAATTAACTTTAGGGGTGGGCAATTCAATTCAGTTTTCCCGAAATGAACCGTACCAAACCGAACCGAACTAGTTCTGTTCGGTACCGAACAACCGAACGATAATAGATTCTTGTATACCGAACGGTTCGATAAAAAAACCGAACCGAACCAAATTATTCGGTAAAAAATCAAACCAAAACGAATACCGTTTGATTTTAATAATAATAATAATAATCAGGTATATTAATAATAATAATAATAATAATAATAATAATAATAATAATAATAATAATTTCATTTTTGATCCTACTGTTATAGGGTCGTTTCCAATTTCAGTCCATTTTAATTTTTTTTGCCACTTTATAACCACTGTTATTGAATGTGTTCCACTTTTAGTCCACCGTTAATATTTCTGTCAAGATGCCGTATAATCAAAGGGTATTTTGGTCTTTTTATGTTTGTCTCTTCTCTTTTAATCCAGGCGCTTCGTCGTCCTCCTCCGATATTCGAAGATGGCTCTTCGAACAACGGGAATGGGAAGCCAAAGCTACATCGTTTCGTTCGTTCTAACATGGGCCGGCAAGGTCTCTTAGGTTTTAGGTTTAATGTTCTCATTTCTTTAGTCAAACATGGTCTTGGATGAGAAGAAAGGTCAAAATACCCCTAGATTACACGGCCTCTTGATGGAAATACTAACGGTGGGACTAAAAGTGGAACACATTCAATAATAGTAGTTATAAAGTGGCAAAAAGATTAAGGTGGACTAAAATTGGAAATGCCCCTATAACAGTAGGACCAAAAATGGAATTCACTCTTATTATTTTATTAAAAAAACCA